GCTGAACCACTTGTGACTGGCTTTCATTCATTTCTTGAATGGTTTTTCTTTTTTTAAAAAAGGTCAAAAATACCAGACCTGGTTACTGAAAACATTGAAATCTGTGCTCTGAAGCAGTTGGATAAGTCCCATTTGCCCTGCGTCACCTCTTTCCATCCATCATTTCACACCTCTGCTACAGATGTGACGCGGCCTTTCTCCAGGCAGCATGTTCGGATATCGAATGGCAACTATCTGTGGACCTTGGCTTTTTCCACTCAGCCACTGCTATACTCCCAGTCTCTCCCCCAGTCTAGGCCTCCTCTGGTTCTGCTGCATGGCTTTGGCGGTGGAGTTGCTCTTTGGGCCCAAAACCTGGACTCTCTCTCTAGCACCGGGCCTGTCTACGCTCTTGACCTGCTTGGCTTCGGCAGGAGCAGCCATCCCCAGTTCATCACTGACCCAGAGGGGGCTGAGGGGCAGTTCTTAGAAGCACTGGAGGAATGGCGGGAGAAGGTGGGACTGGAAGAAATGGTGCTCCTGGGACATAACCTCGGAGGATACCTGTCTGCTGCCTACACTCTTAGATACCCACACAGGTGCTTTTTGTGTGTGTGTGTGTGTGTGCGCTTGTGGGTGGTTGAGAGGATGCTTTGTTGATCATGTAGGTGGTTGTCTAATTCTTAACACACCTTATAGCTTCACATGTATATTAATATACAACAGCTTGACAGTTCTCCCTGTTTGAGATACATTTTTTCCAAATTACAGTAAATGTATTTGTGGATTCCAATGTATTGCTCTACCGCAGCCAACTGTGTACAGCTGCAGCAAAATTAATTATTTAAAACCAAATTTTAGTGTAGAACCTCAAAGTTTGGATACTGTAAATGTACCATTTGTTCTCTTGGCATACACCAGTCAGCCATAACATTATGACCACTGTCAGGTGACGTGAATAACACTGACTATCTGTTACAGTGGCACCTGTCAGTGTGTGGGGTATATTAGGCAGCAAGTGAACATTCAGCCCTCAAAGTTGATGTGTTGGAAGCAGGAGAAATGGGCAAGTGTAAGGACCTGAGTGACTTTGACCAGGGCCTGACTGTGATGGTGAGATGACTGGGTCAGAGCATCTCCCACACTGCAGGTCTTGGTGGGTGTTGTTGGTCTGTAGTGGTTAGTAGCTACCAACAGGGTCTAAGGAAGGACAGATGGTGAACTGGAGACAGGGTCATGGACGCCCATGGCTCACTGATGATGAGGTTGACCTACTGTAGATTAAACTTTTAACTTCCATTTGTACTTTTCAAAAGATTAAAATTTGGCTGAAAATGAGAAATACTGTCCATTGGTCTCTATGAAGAGAAAGAGTCAGGGGCTGTAGTGGTGATATCACACCTAGAGTGGTGAGGCTGTTGGATTGGTCTAAGAAATTCTCTCTAACTCGTCCTCACGACCACTTTTTTTCACTCCTTTTAATAAGTTTTTCAATGAATTGTAGACACTTCTGTGCTCTTCCTGACTGTGGAAGCAAATGGATTCACAGAAGATGCACAGTGAGCTGTAGAGTGACACGAGTGCCAACCAACTGCCACATTGACTCCTATGTAAACAGTATTAGGCAGGTGGTCATAATGTTATGGCTGATCAGTGTATCTTCGTGTGTTGTTGTAGTATCAAGTGAAGAACTGGGTGTACAGTATCAGAGCCACATGATGCTTGGACTACATTTGCTTTTAGGAAAATGTTTATGCAAATTAGTCCTGCCACTTAAAATGTCAAGACCCTGCGAAAAAGTTGTTCACTGTCATTGTTCCATTATACCACCTGCTAAATAAGCTCAAACAAGTAAATGTGTGTATTTGTAATCGTAATATGGTATTTATCACATAGTGTGGGCATTTATCAAGTAACTGTGTTTTAATGCGTGTGTGTGTGTGTGTGTGTGTGTGTGTGTGTGTGTGTGTGTGTGTGTACGCGCTTGTATGCAGGGTGAAACACCTCTTGCTGGTGGAGCCCTGGGGTTTCCCAGCTCGTCCAGAGAACCCCAACCACAACTCCATCCCAGTGTGGATCAGAACCATGGGGGCTGTCATGAGCCCCTTCAATCCCCTGGCTGGACTCAGACTGGCTGGGCCTCTAGGTGAACACACACACACAAGATGTTTTCTTCCTTTTTTTTAGATTGATGTTTGGCCTATTAAAGATTATAGCTGTACAGTTTTAACCATATAAATGCTATGTAATCAACAACAAAACCTTGAGTTACAGTTGCTGGTGTACAAAAAAGACCATGATTGTGATAACTTCATGGTTCAACAGTGGAATTGTTGATTGTTTTTGTTTAAGGTTTTTTTGCTCACTTGATTAAAAAAGGTGGAGCATGCTGAAGGTTTTCCCCCCCATCAGCTATTCTTTCTTTATCATCTTCTGTTAAAACCATTTACAGAAAACTGTAAGAGAAGAACATGTCCTATTCCACTTTAGCAACATAAGGCAAAAGGTATTTTTTGTGAAATATTGGTGGCACAGAATGTAACGTAGCTGTCAGAAGGCACTGTTAGTGTTATTGGCAATTGTGGGGTTTGTTTGAAGCTATCATGCTGACATCTGAGAGGAAATTTCCCCTTGTTTTCATTTCTTCTCTCAGGTCCAATACTGGTCCAGACCATCAGGTCTGATTTCAAGCAGAAATACTCATCCGTGTTCAGTGACAACACTGTATCTGACTACATCTACCACCTGAACGCCCAGACCCCAAGGTGAGGACCTTTTTTAAACTAATACGCATGAATATGTTATCTCTCCACACATCAGACAAGCTCTAACATTACTTCTTTCTGTTTCAGTGGAGAAACAGCCTTTAAGAACATGACCATTCCCTATGGCTGGGCTAAGAGGCCTATGATGGAGAGGATTGGCCAGGTCCAAGCTGACATTCCCATTTCCTTCATCTACGGATCCCGCTCTAGCATTGACAGCGACTCTGGATATGCATTAAAAATATCCAGACCAGATGTGGAAATCACAGTACGTTCTTTACTGTAGCTTGCTTTTTACAGCAAACTTTATTTGTTGTCAATAGGAGCTCAAGGAAGAAAACCTTCCATGGCAGGGCACATTCTCACTTTGCTTTGATCCAAATTGTACAGGATGCGGAGGTTTCATTTTCAAAAGTGTATAAATATGTGTGTTGCATCAGCTACATACTCATTCATAAATTGGTTCTATTCACATAATCTTTAGGCTGACATAAATGTTCATCATGAGATAAATTCACATAACACAATGCTCACTTCTAAGTAAGACAAGTTGCACTTTGGCTCAAAACAGATTCATATTTTTGAATGTGAACCACAGCAACTTTATCTCAAAACAGCGGACTCTGTTTGTTAGGTGATCAGAGGAGCAGGCCATTACGTTTTTGCCGACCAGCCCGATGACTTCAACCAGACAGTCCTTCAGATCCTCGCCAGGACTGAAAAGAAAAGTGAGGCTGAGGGAACAAAGTAGTGAGAGTTCTTTCATTCAAGGACTGTAAACCTCTTTATTGGGCCTGTTTACTCTTCAGGGAGACCCATCACTGACTAAAGACTATGACACTCTTTCCACACCCTGGCACTCCCCAAGGCTTGAAAAGGTCAGTTGTCAGAGTGTTCATTGTTCAGTATTGTGTAAATAAATGTGAGATGCACTCTGTGTTGCTCACTTAGTAATTTTTGTCTTCATACCTTCAATTCAAGCTGGCACATATTCTTAGAAACTATTGGGCAATTCTTGTTTATGTAAAAAAAGAGAAACCATGCCTGGAGAGATTATCTTGTTTTGGTAGAGCTGAGGCAAAGACAACATGTTTCTTTCCTGACCCTTCACCCAGTGTACAAGAGATACAAGGGAGAAGTGAATGGGGCAAAGGGCGGCTGAGGTTTTCAGGAAGCTTCCTCAATTCTGCAGAGAGGCACTGATTGACAGCAGCCAGCAGATGGCAGTACAGCAATAGTATGTGCAGTTCACAGGGCAGGGTAACAGTGATTCCATGCAAAACACACTGGCATGCATATTGAGTTGAGTGACCTACTCAGGAGATAGTGATGCTTTAAGAGTGGTACAACACTTAGTGAAATGCTAAGTCACAACTGCGGTGGCAGAATAGGGACAAAAAACAAATTTATCAAGAGAATTCATATTTACATTCTACCATGTTTGTGGTGTAATGCACTAATTTGGGACTCTTAAAGCTTCATTTTTTTTTATTATAAATTTGTGCATGGAAATAAGAAAATTCAAAGTCTCATATGAACTTGTGAACATACAAAGTTTGCCAAGGGGATTCACTGCAAAGAAAAACCTAGTTTCTCCCTTGATATTTACATTTGTGTCAACTTAAAGGTACTCTCTGGGGTTTTTGACCACTAGCAGCACTATAAAGAAATGGTTTTGTGCTTTTTAATGCAAATATCTAATCAGCCAAGCACATGGAAGCAACTCAATGCATTTAAGCAGGTAGACATGGTCAAAACAATCCGCTGAAGTTCAAACCTTGTATCAGAATGGGGAAGAGTGGTGATTTAGGTGACTTTGAACGTGGTGTGGTTGTTAGTGCTAGATGGGCTGGTCTGAGTATTTCATAAAGTGCTGATCTACTGGGATTTTCATGCACAGCCATCTCTAGGGTTTACAGAGACTGGTTTGAAAAAGAGAAAATATCCAGTGAGTAGCAGTTTTCTGGGTGAAAATGCCTTGTTATGCCTGAGGTCAGAGGAGAATGGCCAGACTGGTTCGAGGTAATAGAAAGGCAACAGTAACTCATTACAACCGAGGTATGCAGAAGAGCATCTCTGAACACGCAACACATGGAGCCTTGAAGTAGATGGGCTATGGCAGCAGAAGACCACACCAGGTGACACTCCTGTCAGCTGAGAATAGGAAACTGAGACTACAATTTGCAAGGGCTGCCAAATTTGGGCAATGGAAGACAGAAAAACGTGATGAGTCTTTATTTAGATGGTGGGGTCAGAATTTGGAGTAAACAACATGAAAGTGTGGATCCATCAAGCTTTGTATCAAAGGTTCAGGCTGCTGGTGGTGTAATGGTGAGGGAGAGATTTTCTTGGCACACTTTGAGCCCTTTGGTACTAACTGAGCATCATTTAAATGCTACAACCTACCTGAGTATTGCTGCTGATCATGTCCATCCTTTTATCCATCCTGTGCACCCCCTCTTCTACTGCTAAAATCACCTCAAACTGGTTTCTTAAACATGACAATGACTTCACTGTAATCAAATGGTCACCAGATCTCCATCCAATAGAGCACCTTTGGGATGTGGTGGAACAGAAGATTCACATCATGGATGTGCATTTGACAAATCTGCTGCTGTCATGTCAGTGTAGACCAAACCCTCTAATGTTGTTGAATCTATGCTCTGCAGTTCTGAAGACAAAAGAGGGTCCAACCTGGTACTAGAAAGGTGTACCGTGTAAAGTGGCTGGTGAGTGTAGAAGTGTAGCAGTGTGACAAATCCAAGGACTAGGATGAGAACAAGTTAGAAGACATGGCTGTAAACATGAATTTAAATAGTCAAACTGGGCTAGCACAAGTTTTGAGTAAGGGAAAACATGCTCCATGTTCAAACCTCCAGGGCACCCGATCCATTTTGGTGAGAAACACTCCATGTAGAGATAACTTGAGTTTATTGACAAGAACACTGAACAGAGCAATGTTTAATACTGTGACTTGTTATTTCAGATGAATGTTGCCAACAGCAGGATGCAAAAGATCAGTGATGGAAAAGGCTACAGTTTGGTACACTAAAAGAGGGAGGCTGATAACCTGGAGATATATTATGTTTGAACACTAAGCACCCTGGCTTTTACCAGTCCAGCCCGTCTGTCATTTCTGAGACATCAACTGGCCCACACACCCTGTCTCCTGGCAACAGGGTACCCACAGAGACTTGAGTCTTTTGGATCGCCGATGAGCAGGAAGTGATGCTGTGGTTGGACGGTGTAATTATGGGTTGTTTGTTTCCTTGAAGATGCGTTCAGCAGAAGCTGCATGTGCACAGTCTCTTGTGGTTGTAAACATACATACACACACACACACACACACACAATGCGCCCAGGCCTCTGTACATAATACTTAATAAGCCTGCAGGGTTATTCATCATCATCTCCTCCCTCTCTTTGTCACCCCCTCAGTCACATGAACACAAAATCATTTCATTACAAAAAGTGAGAAAAATGACAGGAGCTTTCATACTGGGTTTGGATATAATTGAAAGCTTGAAGGCCTGAAATAACTGCACATTCTGTAAGATTTGTGTGCACACAGAAACACACAGCGTTGCACTGCTGCTGGCAGGCTATCAGCTCCAGTTTAACTTTAATCAACACCACCGCATAGAGGTTTGTGCAGCCAAAGCATCAGGAGCTCAGTTTTAAAAGCTAACAGCGATGTCTCTTTGTGATTTGCAAGACTGAACTCTGACTCAGTTTGGTCTTAACCTGTAGTCCTAAAATCAGAGTTGAAGACTAATTGTGTTTAATGCTTGGGCACATTTTTTTTTCCTGTATAAATGAGCATGGAGTCAGCACTGCAGAAGGCTGTCCTGGATGAGCACTGCTCTTCAGACACCAAACATCTGCTCTACTTGGCGTCCATCATGACTGCACAGAAGCCCCAGGCAATCAAGTCTGTTTTTCATGTGACAATCAACCAGTGTAAAGCGATGCATGTGTCAAAGGTGGCAGCCAGCATGACATCTGCACAATAAAAAAGACAGTATTACTATTAAGTCAGTGCAACTAATGTTAAATGAATAGAATATCTCTTTCTTTCTAGAAAATTTACTGTTGTGCAAAATATCTAAAAGGTTCAGTCATTCTCCAGGAATTCCAAAAATTGTATGTTTTTATGCAGTGAGATCACTTCGCAGCACCTTGCATCTCTCAAATTACACCAAAGGCGACAGAGTCTAATGATTCCCAGCATTTCAGTTCTGTCTGCATCACAGTCATAAAGACGTCAGACAGAAGCTGAGCTGGAGTTTGTCAGCTGGCTGCTTGTTCTCTGCAGCCACAGCACAGGAAAAGCTGTTGATGTGAGGACTTCTCTTCACCTCGCAGATGGAATGAAAAGGATCAGAAGAGGCACTGAGGCTTCAAGATTTAGACTCATATGAAGGCATCTCATCAGTGACTGATACTGAAGTACTAATGACTCATAAACTCCTGTAAAGCTGCTAATTTCTCTCTCTTCAGTGAAACTATTGATCCTGCAGAAGTAAAACTGGTCTCTGAGCTACTGCCTGTCACCAAACAAATTTCCATACTTGTTCCATCTGTTTACACAGATTTTAAAACTACCACTGGGCCTTCTGCATCCACTTTCATATTCCATCTTCATTATCATCACCATCATCATCATTGTTATTACATATTCAGATGACCACAGCCACCCTTGGTCAAAATGGTTAAAATGACTGTAAAGTAGCAAGAATGAATATTAAAGTGCATATTAATAAGAGCTCACATGACTTCTTGTTACCTTCAGCTCTGCAGACCACATTACGTCTTTCAGTTCATTGTTTTGGGTTTTCAGCTCATAACTGTACTGTTTTTGTTCACTGCTGTGATTCATCAGCAGCAGGCAGCTGTTTTTAGTAAAAGGCTAGTACACTACCTGCCCATCGGTGACTAGCTGAGTGGCTTAAGAACAAGACATTTGAGTTGGTAGAAGTAAACAGGGCAAAAAGAGAGTAAATATTGGACTTACATTCATTAGATGGCCTGATACATGACCCCAAATGATGATAGCATGGCTCCGTAATTGCAAGATGTCTAAATAAGCCACTGTTTGCAAACAAGTACAGCATATGCAACATACAGTGAAAGGTGGTGTGTTACTGCTTACAGCTTATTTAAAATCAGTTGTTGTAGGTTTTCCTTAATTGGAGTTAAGCTCCAAAAACATCCTGCAGTTTATAGCGTTTTGTTAGCCTGTCATTGCACATTCCTGGGCTGGCATCCCAAATACAAATATGTGATCTCGAAGTCCAAGTTGAGATATTGCGGTGTCAAATCTCCCCTTCAGAGCCACATAATACATCATAGGCTTCATAAAGGCTGAGAAGTGCTCCCTATGACTTAGTAAACTGACTCTGGGATGTGAAATCAATGAAATTCCCCTTTAAAACCAGTCAATTAATGTTTATTGTCACCCTCCAGACTATTTTAACTTATTTGGACAAAGACCGCAGGTTGTAATTGTTATTTATTTCAGAGTTTTATAGCCAGAACTTCTGCCTCCAGGTTGAGAGTCTTCTGTGGGTCCTTAGTCACACAAGGTTGGGTAACATCCAACAACCCATTCTGATACTTAGGATTATTAAAATCAGGGGTCCTTCAGAACTGACAGGATGTGGCTTTGGGAAGACGTCTGCATCCTCGCTGACATCTTTGCATTTAGTAATATGTCTGTATTGTCAAATTACCTCTCATTATGATTCACCAGACTACAGTTTGTTTCACTTTCAAAGTGAGTACAATACTCTAAAACTGCTCTCTAGCTCTGGTTTCTTTATCTGAAGAATTCACATATTTTTAAAGCTGCAACTTTAAAGCTAACCTGCGGTTATCCAGCCTCCGCACTGCTTTATGATCTCCTGTTTAGCCACAGTGATGTAGCTACCTGTTATAGCTTCAAAGCCCACAGTTTTCCAGCTGTCCTGCTTTTTGACACAGTGCAGAAGTTTCCTTGTTTTTGCCCTGCTGCTGTTTGCTCTTTTTATTTTCGGTCATATAATTGAACTTTTACAGGTTTATTTGTTGATAAATTGTCATGGCTTCTTTTACCTTTTATGTAACGTCTGTAATAACTGTTCTTTTTGATACTTACCAGCTCCTGTTGGCCTTTCACCCGGGTGTCATGACTAATAAAAACAAAAACTGTCTGCTATCTCTGCCAGTCCTTGGTTTGACATTGTGTGACACAGGTAAACACTCTCTTTCAGTGACACTATGAACAATTCTACAGTAAAATCAAATGTACACATCCACACAAATAGAACATCACCATACAAACCTCGGTATCAGAAAAACACAAACCTTCATCAGATGTCCAAACAGTGTTTGTGTACTCAGGGACCAACTGGATGTATGTGTGAGAGAGTGCTGGTTGGACACAGTCACAAGGAAATGACATTTTAAAATAACAGTGTCTGTTGAGGTTGTACTGAGTCTAGATGGTGTTGGATCTGTGTGGCTCGCTGAGTGTGTGTGTGTGCATTTGTATGGCCACTCACTGTGAGGTCCAGTTTGGGTTTTATACTAAATTATCTTTCAGGACATTTTAGCCAGTCCTCACTTTCTCACACAACTTGAGAGGACTGTTAGAGCATTAAGGCTTTTGGTTAAGATTAGAATTAGATTTAGGCATTTAGTTGTGAAGGTTTGGATTCAGGGACGCTTTCTCACAAAGATAGCTGTACAGATGTGTGCTTTATTCCTTTTGTCAGCAGGATTCAGGATTTCAGATGTGACAGGGGCTTTATTGCTTTTGTCAGCAGGATTCAGGATTTCAGGAGGACTGTTAGAGCATTAAGGCTTTTGGTTAAGATTAGAATTAGATTTAGGCATTTAGTTGTGAAGGTTTGGATTCAGGGACGCTTTCTCACAAAGATAGCTGTACAGATGTGTGCTTTATTCCTTTTGTCAGCAGGATTCAGGATTTCAGTCCTAACATTGAGCTCCACTGTCACGGTCTGATTTAATGCTCTGCTGACTGATACATCCTTCAATTGGCCTGTTAAACCAGATAGAGACTATACAATATAAATACAAGGACAAGGGGACATACATTGAACATAATCCTTAAGAACTACAGTATGTACAATAATGACCCGTGGTTGGCCTGATAATATTGAACACCATGGCATGCAGTTCAAGTACAAGATAATATACTGATTTCAGTTGAATCATCTAAATGCCACCTCTTTTCAAATACTGCACACTGTGGATTTAAAAGTGAATTAATGGTGCTATAGTGCATGGCACTTTGTATTATGGACATTCAGTTTCTGTCTAGTGTTGCTGCCAGTGAGGAAGAGTTCAACCAGCATTTCTTGAGCTCAGCTCTGCAAAGTGGCTTTCATGTCAGGTGGTTTGTCTTCGAGACATTATGCTTCTGCATGAATCAACATTTTGCATATTAACATTGAATCAAAAGATTGGATGTCAGTGTGAGGGGAGTCACTTATAGAGTAGAAATAGTTTTGTTTGAAGACCCAGGCATTTAAATGTATAAATGAGTCTCAGCCATTTTTTTTGTATCAGTACAAATGTCAGTTAAATGTTTCTGTAACAGACTGCTACTGTTAATGCACAGTGACCCACCAGACACAGATAATCTGTCTGCTGCTGTGAGTGTGGTGCATGTAGAAGGTGTTTCCCTGCCAGTCTGCCATATCTATCCCCTGTATACTAGATGACACCTACTGTAAAAACCACAGACACTAATTTGAACTCACAGGGTTGCCTACTACACCTTGTCACATCCATGTTCTACATGTTCAACATATTTGGTATTTTTTATAGATTGTGAAACCTATGAAACTCTTAAACTATTATATGGGAGGTGCATAGACAGAGGTGGAGTGAGATCAGGTGGCAGTCAAGTCTCTGGTGTGGTGAGAGGATTGTAGGTAGATGATGACTCTGATTCCTGCAAGACTCATTGGCCACATAACATCTTCTCAGTGACACACTATCCTCTGTGGTCCAGTCACTCCTCAACCCACATGACAACCTTATCACCTGCTCATTTGTGTGTTATCCTACATGGTGTATGTGCTCCTGCTTGTTTTTGTGTAGCTATGACTGCACTTGCATCATTTGTGTGTGTGTGTGTGTGTGTGTGTGTGTGTAAGCCTGTGGGTCACAAGTTTGTGTGTCATCCCTAGAGCTCATCTGGTCTAAGCGGATTATGTCCCATCTGGTTGATGTGAAACAGTAGCCCAGATGTTGCAGAGATTGCAACTCCCTGCAGTGTTTGGGGGAATCTTTGAAACCATTCAGGAAAATAAACACAATGAGAGAACTTGTACTGCACATAGGCTGACCAAACGTCTGCCATAGAGATGATCCCTATCCCTACAGATGGCAAACAATGACAAACAACAACAAAACAACAACCCTCCTGACCCATGTATTTTAAAGTTGATGCCCTCAGTTTACACCACCGTCTTTCTTGCAAGATGGTTTCCGTCACGCCATGCTACAAGAAGTGCTCCCTCCAGAGCAAGAGTTTTCACAGGGCAAGTACTCCTGCAGTAACAAGTAAACTGATCTTAATGAAGAAAATCAGTGGGCTGCCCTTTAAATGACGTTAAATGATCTCATTCTATAAATTTTACATATATACCATCACTCAACATAGTATAAGCTACAGTTAACCCTCCTGTTATGTTGACCTGAACAGTATCTTTGTAATATAAACATGCAGGGGGATGTTGCAAATATGTGAATTGAACCATTTTCATTTTATATGTTGATCACACCTATTACGCCAAGCAGACGAAGTTTCATACCAATAAAATATTTTTAACTATTTTTTTTAGATTTTTTTTGTTACTTTGCACTGGGTCAATTTGACCCAGAACATAACAGGAAGGTTAAAGGTATAGCGTTAGGAAAAAAGTGAACTGTTACCAGGCACTCAGGGATGATTTTGACATCGGTGTACTTTTCATGTAAATGGGGAAGTTGAACCACAGAGCAAAAACTCTGATATCCATTCAGCACTCAGTGTCTACATCGCATGGACTGTGGAAAACAAGTTCTTCATCTGTCTGCTTCAGACACCAGGCTGTAGTCAGGAATTAAAAAATACTGATGAGTCCAATCATCCTTCGCAGAACTAAAACATTCTGGATTATAATTCTGTAATTTTTTTTCTGGCTATTTAAATATATTTCATGTTATTTATCAATTAAATTACATGTACAGAAAATACAACTGAACAGACAAAGGTTATCAATACACAGCTCTGGCACCTTTAACTGTGCATGGACAACATTTACCAGGTCAATTTTATTTTTTATGTGCACAAAATCAGTCAAAGAAATGTTCAGTCAAAAACAGAAAACTACACATAAGCTCGGCTATATTTTTACTTTCAAAAAGGCCAATTTGTGTATTTTTCTGCCTGAATCATGCTGAGCTTTGGTCATATACCTGCAGAATAGATACTATTTTATTTTTCTTCATACACATTATCCTTCTGTCTCTAAGCCTGTGCACAGTGGACTGGTACAGGAAAACTGAGGTGCACATCACAAACACAGTTCAGACTACATTCACACAATTTTATTGTAATAGATCTCTATCATATACATACAGTACAATATGCTCAAGACAGATTTTATGGCACATCCATTTCTGTTGTACATTTTTCTGTCGCTGGTATTGCTGTGAGGCTACAGTAAAGTGACCATTTGAATTTGTTACTTAGGTAGATACAGCAGATGGTTTGATGCCAGTGGGTCAAGGTTAAGGTTGCTACAGCAAAACGCATGCACTGTCAGATTATATATTCCACTAGGGGTGGGTCACACATCCAGTTACACAGATGGACACTTGAAGGGGCAGTGTTGTAATCTTCTATTGAGACCCCTTTGTTGGTTTTGTCTCGGAGTACGCTACAACAGCGGCTACTGTGATCCTGGAAAGCTACAGGATGTACAAGGTTTAGGTTCCACCCAGTGTTTTCTTATTTTTCCTATCACAAAATCAGGATTGGAGGATCATTGTGACTTGAAGAGCTGCCATTACATGTATAGAATGTACCCAGTTTGCTTTCAGTGGAGATTTTAAATCAATTCAACCATCAAATACGTTTTGAGTTCTGGCTTCAACCAAAACCTTGAATATCCAGTAGGAGTTAAGAATAATGGTGGAAAAGGATCTAGTATTCAGGGTTCTACTGTTATACAACTTTACTGTCTATACTACAGGTACAGTGTACTGCTAGAAGGTTATTCACATATGTACAACTCTGCCATTTAACTGCAGACTTGAGAAGTGAGTGTGCGTTTCCTTCTCTGCAAAGCACGTTCGAAATAGAAAAATAAAACAGTGATAGACTATAGAATACTGTGTGCCACCTTCATACTCAAGTGCTGCTGTCCATTGTCACCCTGTTATTTATTATTTGAATGAACAGTCATAATGTAACTTTCAGTCAGAATAAAAAAAATGATAAAATGATTGTCTCAGAAAATAATTTAAAAAATAATATTTAAAAAACAACATCAAAGTGCAACAAAAAGATTATATGTAACATGACACTACAACTCATCAGCTTTCGCTTTTGCCAGCTTGTTAAGAGTGATGTTGGTGTGTATATACAGGAGTGTAAGAGCTGGGAGGTGAGCACTTCCTCTATCTGTTTCCTTACTTATTGTCTCTTACACCAGCTGGTTAAAATGTCCCTTAGTGTTCAGTTTGATCTGCACAAAGTGCTTTACATACTTGGCAAGACACCCAGTCCCCTCCACGGAGACCTTTTGTGTTTCTAAATGTGCAGGTTTGGCATTTGGACTTTCTCCCAAAGTACAGGAAACACCAATAAATGTATAACTAATATGAACTCATGAGCAGGTGGTGCCAGTATAACCTACCAAAAGTGAGATGATAAGGTAATGGAGTGGAGTGTGTGGAATGTGAGTGGAGGAGTGTGGAGGTGCAGCAGCTGACTGAAAGGCTGTCTGCACTCTAGATGACCTGGCAGCAGCTGTGAGGGGAGGGGGTGCAGAGCAGACCTTCCTTGGTGCTCCGGTGGATGTTGACAGACAGGGTTTTATCGCTGAGTGGCATCTGTAACACGCGGTTCTTCATGTTCCTGTGGTTCTCCCTGGCCAGGTCCAGCTCTCCCAGCCTCAGTGTGCCCGGGCAGGGGCCTTCCAGCAGTGGGTCCACCAGCACGTCTGGCTGGTTGTAAAGGTTCCCCCTGGGTGAAGGGCCACCCAGGAGCGAGACCTTGTCCAGGCTACCAGTGGAGCCACCCATGCACATCCTCCACATGGGACGGTCTTGGTTGTCCCCCGCAATACCTCCTCCACTGCCAACACCCCCACCTCCCCCGCCTCCCCCTGTCAGGTTGTGGAATTGTGAGCTCAGGCACAGGCTCATCAGCTTCAGGCTTTCCACCAGGCCGCTGGCAGCTTTGGCTGTGCCCTTGCCTTGGCCTGAACCTGATCCAGGACTGGTACAGTTAGTGGGACTGCCCTGTCCTGACCCCCTTTTCTCTCTTTCCTCTTTCCTCCCTTCTCTCTCATCCCCTTGTCCACATGCGGTTGCCATGTCAGGCTTGTTGTGACTTTCCGTTTCATCATCACTAGTCTCTGAGCTGGAGGTGAAAATGGCAACCGGTGCTGTTACAGTTTCAGGTGATGACATGAGTGTTGATGATGATGATATTCTAGAATTCAGATTGAGACTGAGGCTGGGTTTGGGTGGACCAAGTCCATGCAACTCCCTGCCCTCCTCCTCTTCCTCATCCTCTTTATCCTCCTCATGGATCTGGTTCAAGACTGGAGCACTCATACGTGATGTTAAGCGATTACCAGAAGAAGCCATAGATGATGATGAGGAAGAGGCTTTGCAACGAAGCACCACCTGAGTAGGCAGGGTAGAGGGGGGCAAACATTTGTCTTCTTCCCCCTCTTCTTCCTCATCTTCTTCCACACTGAAAAGACTGGGGCTACGGGGTTTGCAAGGGCCCACTGAGGCCATTGAGCCCAGTCTGAGGGGGTTGGAGTGGGGCTTTGGTAGAGGTCTGAGCCCTCTCTCTTGGTTCTGTCGTGCAGAATGCTGCTGGCTGCTGGATGATTGAGCGTGGTTCTCCTGCCGCTGGCTGAGGTCTGGCAGAGCTGTTTTGGGCCTGGGGCCTTTATGGAGGCTCTCAGCACTACGGGCAGGAGACTGTGGGCCCCCGGGGTGAGAGATAGCCGGGCCCCCCAAGCCATCACTGACATCCTGGTGAACATCCACTCTAGTGGGCCAGGACTGCCTGTGTAGGGTTAAACATACAAACAGTACAAGGTTCAGTGGGGTGAAACAGAATTACCATTTATATGTTTAGACTTATACTAGTCATTTATTTGAATATGAATCCATTTTAGTGATGTGCTTAATCCATTTATTTAATCTACACAAAAATGCAAATATTAAAATGAGATAGCTAGTGATAATTAATGAGCATTAGGTTGTTTTTTTTTTTATAGAAATACAGTTCTATACAAACAGTTGCATCAACTGCATAACAGGATGCATCAAATCAACAAAAGTAGACATAATATGTCAAAATAAGCTTAAGTAAACATAAAGTAGAAAAAAACAGGCAGGACAAAGTGAAACAAAACACCAGAGGTAAAATTATACTGAAATAAAATGAAAGAATTTGAAGAGGTCAGTGGTTTTGATTTGTTTTTTGTTGGAATGTTTTAGGTGTGACAGTATTTGGAAGTAAGTGCTCAGATCAAATTGTTTAAAAGTTGCAAAAGATGGTCATTTTTTCAGAAATTTCATTATATGAATGAAGAATTTGGCCCAAATAATGAGCAGATTAATAATAAATATTTCATTGCTAGAGAAATGGGGCTTGTCAAAGATTAATAATATGTCATATTTTATAAGCTTTAGTGGTACTTGCACTGTAGTTGTTTGTTTCAGTTTTTATGCTAAGATAAAGATAACTGACAGCTAGCTTGTAGCTTCATGTTTACTGTACAGACATGTGGTATCATTGATTTTATCTAACTCTCTGAAGAAAAGTGAACAAGTTTATTTCCCAAATTTCTGAACTGTTCTTATCACTTGCAGTAGCATATTGGTGTCTCTATTTCAATATATATTGAACAAGAATGTTGAATCAAGACATCCATCCATCCATCCATCCATCCATCCAT